AAACTTATTGTAATTTTTGCCACATGGCCAGTACGTCTTTACGTTTCTTTATTACATCTACATTTAACTCTAATCTTCTGTTAAGTGATAAAAAATTCACATCTCATCAGATGCATCCTATATGATGATAAACAAGCACAGCTATAAGCATGCAAATTTAATCATCTTAAATCTTTCCATGTAAATATCTGCAAAACAGTGATTTTTTTTTTATTTGCAGAAATACAGTAAAGAAGACAGAAATGCAGATATCTAAACAAACCAAATGTGGTACAGATATCAAAAACGACAGCAGACGTATAAATGATGCAATGTTACACTCGTCCCCTTAGCAAGTTCTACCTGTGTTAAAGAAAAGAAATATGATAAGTATCAATGCTGGAACATTTTTACTGTGTCGTTAATGTTTTCAAATAGGTAGTTTTCTTAGAATTAAATGTCAATAAATGGCATGTAGTTGTTATAATTTGTATACCTGACACTCTTATCAAAATATCTACTTGTAATATGTTGTGTATATTTTGTATTTCATATACTGCTATAGAATTTTTAAAAGGGAAAGTATACCTTATAATAAGTAGACCAAGGTATATTCTAGCTCAATAAAAAAATTCATAAAGCATAATAGTTAAAAAATGTAATACTTTCCTAATACAAGACATATTTCTAATCAGGCAATGATCGAGAGTTCTTTCAAAAATAATATAATTAAGTTGTATGTATTTTACTTATTTATACCTAAATGTTTTTATATGTTTTACATTTACTTTTGACGACTGTAAACAACATATCGAAGGCAACAAGGCTAGACCTCGTAAGTCGCAAAATCAAAATTTTTCAGGAGATCAAAAAAAAAAGATTCACAAGTGCATAGAACAATCCTTTTTACTCTATAATGGGACTAATATTTAACCATATTTTGTTCAAAAATTTTAATACATACTTCATTTATACAGTAGATGGAGTGAAATCTTTTAAACGAGATTATCATAAAATATAATTTTCAGTGGAAATGTTAGTTACGAGGTCCTGTATTGTGGCCCTCGACATGTCCAAAATGAAGAAAAAAGTCCAATTTAGATAATACAATAAATATTGTACAATTTTAAATAAAAAAATCAAACCTTATTATTTTACAGTATCTATAAATTATAATAAAAAAAAATATATATAGATCCTTAGCCATTCAGCCAGTTTTAAATTAAATACAATTCATACAAATAATTATATTTTTATACATTTTGTAATTCTATATTGTAATTGACTAACACCCAGTTGGAAGAACACTTATATAAATCTTTCAATATCTAATGATCGTATAATTTTATTAGACTGAACGTAATTTGATGTTCATATCATTAAGACAGATCACATTCTCAAACTCTGTCAAAGTTTATCGTACCTACAAATTTTAATAAATATTGTTGCAATCGGTTGTTTGTATCTGGGTACGATATACATTTATATTAGTATGTACACATTTTTTAAAATTTTAAATATGTATATATTTGTTTTCTGTCTTTGTCAATAAGATGTATTTTTCAACAATAAAGCAATTTGAATTAGGAACCTGCGAATATCAGGCAGAGACTCCTGTCACTCGTATCATCTAAATTTGTGTCGATGTATGTAGTGAAAAGAGCATAAGTTGGAACCATATCGATGCTTTCTGGCAGTGGTCTCCCTTTGTTATCTGCATGTTCCTATTAAACTTTGTTAAACTCATTGTAAGATATACCTTCTGTGTTAAAAAGTCCGTACCTGTCTAGTATCCTAAAGATATTTTAATAATAAGTAGTTTTCTTTGAATTAAATGTTATATATTCTTTGTATTTGTTAATGTCCTGAAGATTTTATTTGAACAAAATGTTATTCAATTCTTATAATTTGTACCCCTAATACTATTATTAAAATAACTGCTTGCAATATATGTTTTTTTTTTCAAGGATTTTCAAATGTTAGGTAATTTTCTTTGAATTAAGTGTCTCATTTACTTTTCAATAACTTTTACACCTGATACTAAACTATTATTAAAATACTTGCAACGTTTGTTAAATATTTTTATATTCTGTAGCATCTTGCAAGGTTTTCAAATAAAAGAAATAGTTCAAATAAGTACCTAGTTTTGTTTTCTTCATTGGTCCCCAGCCTAAACTTAAATTTGCCTTTATTTCCAAGATTAAGTTTTGATAGGTATAATTTAATAAATATTTCACTCGTTGTCTACAATATTCGACTCGATAGTGGAGTCGGTAAGCATCTGGTATTCATTTGTGATCAGGAGATAACAATGGTTGTAATTCTATAGCAAAAATGGTTTACTCTCTACAGGAAAGAATAGAAATAATTATCTTTTATGAAGAGGTTGGAAAATGCGCACGAACGGCAGCATTTAAATGAAAGGCATCCTAATTGTAATGTAAGTCATATGTATACTCTCGATTTGGTAGCAAAATTTTTGGAAACTGGTTCGGTGAAAAATAGGAAAAGAACCGACGAGTACTAAATGAAGAAGCTCTAATTGAGGTTTTGGGAACATTTGTTACCGTGTCAACTAGCTCCATACGAATAGTAGCAGAACAGACGGGAATATCACGCGAGACTGTAAGAAGAGCACTGAAAATGTATAAATTTCATTTCTATAAAATGCAGTTACTTCAAGAGCTCTAAGAAGATGATTTTGATAAGAGAATGGAGTTTTGTAAAACCATGTCTGATCAAGTCAACGCCAACCCCAATCTTCTGCTGAATATCTGTTTCAGTGATGAATCTTAATTTTTTTCTAAATGACAATGTTAATAAACACAAATGTTGGTACTGGAGCGATGAACACCAGGTATATTATTCAAGAAGGGCATACGCAATTATTGGTTCTTTATTTAATGAAGGAAACTTCCCAGGCGATCTGTCCCTTAATATGCTTGCAGAGATTATTGATCCTCTTATAGAAGCTAGAAACAAACTGATGCAGAAGGTAATTTAGTTTTACAGGAGATTTGTTACATTTCCAGCAGGACGCTGCTACACCTCATTTTTTCTTCTCGTCTGACAGAGATTTCCAGGCCTTTGGATTAGCAGAAGGGGAGCAATTGAGTGAAGATCACCTGATTTAACTCCTTTAGATTTTTTTCTTTGGGGACACCTTAAATTCGTTGTTTATGAAACACAACCTGCTGATATTGATGATCTTAAAAGGAGAATTACACAAGCATGCCGGTCAATTTCCGGTAAATGTTTTCCGAAATGTTAGAGAGGAGTTGGGAAACAAACTTTTTACTGTTTACAGTACAATGGACAACATTTTGAAAAGTGTTTAAAATAGTGTACAAGTATAGATCTTATGTGTTCTATTTTTAAAATTTCTTGTGCAAATTAAAAGTTATTTATTTTGTAAAAGTCACCTTACCAAAAAAATAAAAAGTTAAACGTGTAATCTTGATATTCGTCCTGTTATTTAACTCGATAGAATAATTTTTGTTTAATAAATTAGGGTAACATTGGGAAGAGAATTAAACGCCCTTTAGAATGATGTGCCTCTTGACCCTTTTTCCCATTTAAGATTTAAGGGTAACAACTACCCCTCCTAGGAGGTTGAGCCACGAGTGTTAAAAGTATTTATTGTAGGTGTCCTTGAAAATAAAATTGACGGGTTTTTGCGATTTTTCACATTATTTAATGGAAGAAAGATATTTAATTTGGGAAGTTTTTGGTGTCACCCTGTATGTATATCACTTGTTACATAAACACTCATAAAGAAAAAAATTAATACAAAAATTTAAATAGTACCTGACCTGAAGGGTATTTTAATTGAAGACTACTCGTTAGATGAATTTATAAATAATTTTTAATATTTTAATACATTTTTACGTATCTATATGTGAGCATTGTATTTCGTTTATCTATGATGTGATGAATGTTTTTTTGAATGCCTATGTTGTATTCAGCTAACCTTATGAAATTTAGTTAGTTATTAATATAAAACTAATTTTTTAACCTGTCTCATGTCATCGGAAGATAATCTAAAGAGAATAATATAAATTTATGCAAATAATTAGCGGTCCCTCGCCGCACTAGCTATACTTAAATTATCTCAACTAATACATAATCTTGTTTAATTATTTATTCCTTTTATTTAAAAAGTATTAGTTATTCGCATTTAATTATTATGTATATTTTTATTGAATTAGTAAAAAACTGAGTACAATCCTGAAAACACTCAACTGCGCAGACTCTCCGCCTCCCCGGCAGGTTCTCCTTGTGTAAACGTTTTCTGAAATGACAGTTCCTATCTCCCCTCCTCCTATATCTATGGTTTCGACAGGTTATGATGTGGCAAAGTTATGGCAACTCTGTAGGCCTGGTGATTTGACAAGGTGAGTGAAATAGATAGTTACATAGATTGATCCTCCCTATTTTTTAAAATAAACATAAGCTTATGCCTTGAAGTAAAAATATAAGCAATTATTATTTTTTAAATATCTAAAGTCTGAAAATTGGTTTTAAAACACATTTTTGCTAAACTGATTCAAATTAATAAATATTTGCCAGGCAATATGGCTGCTCGCAAACGACCAGCTTTGAGCAATGTATATAACATATATGTATCATTGACCCTGTTAATGACAACATGACAACAGGGTTGCCATATCTAAACTGTCTGTACCCACTGGTAGCCATTTGGACAGGTCGTTGGAATGCCTAATTGAATAAAATCAAAATACTTCAAATTAATATCTAAGGTATAAGCCAAATATATTTTATTCGCATGTACTAATGGCAACTCACCTAAATGACTGAGATTAAAAGTTTCTCTTCGTTTTCAGAAACGTCAATAAATAATTTATTCAATAATTTATTCTACGCAGCTCTTACAAATAAAAAAAAAATTCCGGTATATTTAGAAATATCTTTGAATAGGCACTTAAAAATTATGTACTTCTAAGCTTCAAGATAAAGAAATCAAGTATTCTTTATTAGATTATGATTGCAAGTATATATAAGTTAAAATAAAATCATAGGTTTGCTAGTAATTACTGGATTCTACATCGATTTTATCTCTCTATTAATAAGATGAAGTTTATATTCTTTACCTTTGCCTTGATAGTAGTTACGGTGAGTAGATGTAATATAATTAGTTAAGTGGATAGTAAATTCTTAATTAAAATTAATTCATATTTAAAAAAAAAGTTACAATTCAAAACTAATTTATGTTAAATTAGAAATTTATTATTTTAAAATAATTTAGAGTAGTGCACTATTACGAAATGGTTCAAAATAAATGTTAGTAAAGTATGCATCAGAGCTTACAATTCTTATTTTTAAATCACCGTTTTGAGGCGTGTGTATCACGAACTTGATTCGTATCACCCCAAGTAACACACAAAGTTATACAATGTTGGTATAATTGATTAAAACGTTACAAAACACACGTAAAATAAATTTTTAAAACTGATATATAACTTTTTAATAGTATAGAAACTAACAGTACGACGTTTTTGATAGAAGTTGTTGAGTAATATTTAACTATACTATATTTACATTTCAAATAGGGACCGTGCGTCATGACTTTAACGCTAACTGGTGACAAAAATGTGAACTTTATGGGGGGTATTTATTAATGTTTTATACGGCATTTATTGTTTAATAATTTATAATTAAATAAAGTCAAATTATTTTCGTAATATCATTATCGAAAAAACTTGTTGCATCCGTGGATGTACAAACACATCACTTTGGAAACCTGGATTTCATTCGATAGTAAAGAAAATTTATAAATTTCCACAGAGCACAATTAATGTATCACACCCAATGATATACATTATTACAAAGATTGCTTATCCATATGTAAATCAGACGACGAAAAGCGTATTTCAATCTTCGAGCATATATTACTAGAGCCATCGTCCAAAAGGACTTTGTTTTGGTACAGGGGGGAAATATAGTGTCCAGCATTCCCATTGGTCTGTTTCGTTTTGCTTGGCATGTCAAATCGTTCGAAATTGTCAGAACTGTCATTTGATTTTTGACTTTCATTAATTTCTAGCTTATTTTTGTAGTTTATGTAGTTTACAAATTTTAACAATGGTGAGAGTTTTTGTAAGTTTTAAATAGAAATACGAAAAGGCATCGTCAAGGTCATTTCACAAGTAAGTAACCATTAGCGTCTCTACCATTTTTTTAAAAGAAACATAAGTACCTACATTTTATGCAAGAGGCCGTTAAACATGAATTTAAAATAAATGGTAAATTTAGTGAATTAAATTTAAAGAACTTGTATTATGTATGAGGAATATTGTTTTAGATTTTGGACTCATTTTATCATGAAAAACGCATTTGATGAAATGTATTGAAATTTACTCCAGACAACATTTCAAATAGTGATGTTTTATGTTCCAATCATTTTTCTGGGCATATATTGGATGCGGAGGAAAAACTAGATTAATTTCAGGTGCATTGCCATCAAGACTTACTGAGGTCCCAGAAGAAGATGAAACTAAAAGCTAAAGAACCCTGCACTTGTAGATTAATCGTTAATCGTTTAATTTTTCAGTCATGATCTAAACCATGAAGCCTCTGTTGCAGAAAAAGAAAATTCAGAATTAGAAAGCAAATAAGTAAATAAGTACTTTTTAATGCAACATAAATTTTATTTTCAAATACTTACTTACCTATTACTAACTATATTTTTTATAAAACACAAAAATTGACAATCAATATTTTTTATTAAATATACCTATGTTCTTTAATTAAGTAGACTGCTAGTCGTTAAGAAATAAGCAAAACCTATGTGATTTTTTCATTAAAAAAGTAATTTTAAGCTTCTTTTATTTGTACTCCTAGTCATTAAGAAATAATCGAAGCTTAAGACAGTTTACCAATAAAAATTAAGCTTCACTTATTTGTTAACGACTGGCAGTGCAAATGTACCTAAGTATTAGCATGATTTCTATTTGTAGTATATCGTTTAGTAATCTATTGAACATTGTTTACGAACAATATTTTTATGTTTAATAAATTATTGGAAAAAATTATTTTATTCTAATTCTCGTACACGTGTGTGTTAATAGATATCATAAATATTTTTATATTATACCTAATATTTATTTATATTTTTGATTTTTAAATATAAGATCTTTATCTTTTTTATATTATTTCAACCTTCATTTTTTCGTATTACACTTTCTGATGTTTTAATTAAAAAAATCTGATGTGTCCACACAATAATAAATAATAATAATAATTTACTATTACTAGATACCTAATTAAATAATGCAAGTTTATAAAATATGTGAATAATTTAAAGAATTTTAAAGGTATATATCAAATTTATTATTTATATTAATTGCAAACCCCGTAAAAATGATGCGACACTGAAAATAGTGTCTACCTATTACCCCTCATAACGCAAACAAACTGTTGAATGCGGACTCTATGAAATATATATGCTCGAAGATTTCACTGGGCAAAATTTTCTTTTTATCAAGCTTGTATCAATTTTGAGCACTTAGTTGTAAAGAAATCATTTACAGAACCCGTTTAGAAATTAGAATCTTTAGTGTTTTCTTGTCATTAAGATTTTTACATATTTAAATGAACATTTTATATAAATATAATTTTACAGATAATTCGTGGTTTATTCTGTTGATTAAAACTAATGTGGAATGTTTATTATGAAATAAGAATGTCCAATTTGACAAAAATATCATGGCTCTCTTTACAATTTATTAACTATTTCTCATTTATTATTAAAATAAACAAATCATAAATAATACATTGCAATTACTGTCAAAAGAGATTGCAACCAACTTTAAAATATTAAAAATCCAGTGATTTTTTGTAAATTTTTTTAGTGACATTACCATTAAACATTATTCAGAATAATAGATAAGTGTCCAATTACAACTCTTACCAAAGTTGTTTATACCTCATCTCAAAGTTGTTTACATTACCTTTTCAAAATTGTATTACATATTGCAATTATGTATTTTATGTAGTATTATTTCTGAAATGAGAGTAGTCTAATAGTTGCATACAATATTTTTTCTACGTTCATGCAAAAACCAAAAAATGTTTTATAAGACTGCAGTTGTATTATCCAAATCATAGTAGCCGTGATCGTGTACCTTTGTTTGAGGCATTTATTTACGTTTGTGTTCATAATTTGTAATGGCATTTTTAATAAAATACATTTTTTTATTAATTTATTTATTAAATGATTGAAAATAATATAAAATATGCAATTGTTTTTAAAACGTAACACAGAAAATGAAAATGGACTAAATATTTGGCGTTGATTTGAATATTTATATTTGTCATGATCATAAAACGCTGTAGTAAAATGACAGATGAGTGAAATAAAATTTTTTTTGCACTAGTGCAATAAAGACCCAGTTTTTTCGATAAATATAGTTCAATAAAGTTTTGTTTTTTGCATGAACGTAGAAAAAATTATTTATATCCATCTGTTAGAAAAATTGTTTAGATCTTTTAATATTATTTAACTACATGGAAACTCAACTTTCCAAATAAATAATAACATGTCTTGAAGTAAAACTTTAATTATTTTCTTTTTCTAAAGATTAAAATGCTGAAATTTTATTTTAAAACACATTTGGGCTAGAACGGCTCTATTTAGTGAGCACTAGGAAAGGCACATTGCAACCCTCTTTTCATAATTTTTTTGTAGATGGGTGAGCAATCTATAATATGTATCATTGGACATCTCATAAACGTCAGTGGATGAATGACATTTCGACTAAAAGCTAAAAAGATTTTTTATTATTATTATTATTATTATTATTATTAGCAATCTTTTTTATTAATTTACATTTTTTTAATGTTATTGTAATACTTTTAAATTCAGTGTTACTAAATACCGATATTTTGACATTGGATACACTTGTTTAAGGTACAACTTTACAATTTATTGTCACTTAGCCATTTAAATATTTTTGCTTAAAATCTATATACATGTCCAGATTTTAATAATGTTTCACATTTTACGTCATTTTGACCATGTACACGATTGTTTGGTATGGGCCGGTATCTATTTTTAACTATATTTAATATACACCCCACAAAAATTATCGCATCACTAAAATGTTTGCAATGTATGTTTATAAAAACAGGCAGTGCTAAAAAACTGTATTTCTCCTCTAATAACAGAGAGAATAAAACAATCAAAAAAATAAAATTTTGCGAAAAATGAGGCTAAAGTAGGCTATTAATTATAACATGCTATTGTTGCTGGTACACTCCACAGGGTGTTACGAATTTTCCAACCAAAAACCTATACTATTGTAACATCCGGTATACACTCTAAAATTAAATTTTATTTAAAGAATCAAAGAGATTAATATTTTTGAAGAATCAACTTATCTTCCAAAAAAAGAATATCCAAATCAATCAAACGGTTAAAAAAAAAACTCCAAATTTTTGAAAACTATTAGTGATGCGATAATTTTTGTGGGATGTGTATTTTAAAAAATATCCTTTATTATTTACTTGCAATGTAATTCTAAAATTAAACACTAGAGAGGGCTAACTTCGGCAGTAGTGTTGTCTCTATATTTCACGCACGGTCCCTATACGCCCGATGTCAACAGAATCACGTGAACACCTTAACACCTAAACAGAACAGGGCCGCATTAAGCTCGTGAAAAAATAAATTTTTGAATTTGTATTTTAATATTAATAAATTTTAAAATATGTATTGTACAAAATCGGGACCAGGACTGGACTGAGTGAACATTTTAATATATATGCTATATATTTTTATTAATTAGAAGCCATAACAACTTACTTTCGTACATTTAATGGTTACTTTTTAAAATGAACGTTTTTTTTTAGAAAGCTTTTTTGGGACTATAGCTACTGACTTACGTAAATGTATTATTCTAACTCTAATTCTGACATGCTTGAGCTACTACTATCACCAACTGCTATTACAATTGGTTCAATTTGAACCTCCATGATAATGTCTAGTTCCCACATTTTTGGTTCTACATTTTAACGTACATGTTCAATATAGTTTTATCAAATAAAGCAGTCCAGCAAAACGAAATTAATAACAACAATAACAACAGCAAACATCAAGAAACAACAACAAACAA